TAGTAGCGTGAATAGCGTTACATTGCTAGTTGATGCTCATGTGCACAGAGAGCGCCACAAACTACTGATGTCAATAACTATTGTTTATAAAGTCCACCCCCAATTTTGAGCATTTACATAAGATAAATTTATTGCCTTGCGTTTGGGTAGACCTCTTTTTTCGTAGCCTAAAAGAGCAATACAATCTGTGCTTTGATCAAATTTCTCTGCAACTACTTTCTAAGCCTTGTTTAGGTTGTCTAGCTGCATAATCAACGCTCACCTTTTGATAGTGTCGTTGATGACTCTAAATAGCAACCGCTGAGTGTCTGGCCATTTAAACAAGTGATCATCAAGCCTTTTTCAAGTCAGAAGAGCTGATCCAGATAGCCAGATTGGGTGCGAGATTGCTCGAATGATTGAGGCATTCTTCATCACGCTCAGAGTTTTTAGTGTGAACACAAATGCTCTCTAACATTTGCGAACTGAGGTTGAGGATTTGTGTTATGATGTAACTGATTTATGTTTTTACCGTAACTTCGAATGCCGCTGCGTGATTTGATCTAACGTAACGCAGCGGCAATGCCTACGCATATAACGCCATAGTATATGCACACAGGTGACTCTTCATACCGATCGCCGTTGTTGTTTTCAGGACAAATAATGCGATTGAGTGAGTACAAGCGCGATAACAAGTACGAAGACGGACCCAAATACCTTTCAGGTTATTTGGGAGTTTTTTTTTAAAGTCTGAACCTAACCTTTACAGCCCCGTTCTCCTAGAACGCTATCTTTCGGCAGTGCTCAGACATCGGAGATAATTAGAAGATGATAGTTTGAGCTGTTGCGCAAATAAATATGGGGAAAAATCAGAAAATTCTGTCCAAGCATATGCCGTCGCAGAACATGATCTGAGATGTGTCATTTTCCTTTCTTCTAGCACTTCTTACTCTCAGAACAAATTTCAAGAACAATCTCAAGAAATCACAAAGCATGCATAGATTACTCACGATGTCGCAGTCTTCGAAACAAAC